AGGCAAAAGAATTGCTTGAACCCAAGAGGCAGAGGTGGTAGTGAGATGGCGCGCCACTGCACTCTAGCCTGGGTGTCAAAGTGAGACTATGTCTCAAAAAATAAAAATAGAAAGTTCGACTTGGGCACCATTGAAGGGTTTTAAGTGTGAGAGTGAGATGCCTTAAGCAAGGTAAGGTTAGCCTTACTTGCCCAGCCACTAAAGTAAAACTCATGTCCCAAGTAACATGTATTTTAAATTTGTCTTACAGAGTTTAAATTTCCCTTTTGAACAGTTGATCCCTGAAAGAGCCTATATAAAGGACAGGTGACTTTTTCATTCTGTTTAGGAAGTTATGCTATTAAGTGGTTGTGCTGGAAGATATTTTATGGTGTCGTATCTGAAGTTTACAATATGTCATATGCTGTATTTTAGTATATTTTAAATATACTAATCACTTAATAAAGTAATTTTATTCTTTATTGTTACAATTCCATGTCCTAATAATTCATGTCCTGAATCTAGTAACATGTTATAAAATATTTTTATCATTCTTTCCAATAGGATTCCATATGGCTCTCATATCATTCCATTCCATCTCTGCCAAGATTTGGATACCGCAAAAACCTGTGTTTGTGGAAGATTCTGTCTGAACTCTTTCATTCAGGGAACTACTACCATGAATCTGCATTCTGTTGCCCACACTGTGGTCTTAGTAGATAATATGGGTGGTACTGAAGCACCTATTGTCTCTCATTTCTGTTCTCTAGGCTGTTATGTAAATTCTTCTGATATGTTAAAGTAATGGGTGAGACCAGAAAAAGAAATTTCAATAACAGATCAGTCTGGGATGCATGTATGATTTTGCGACGTCAAATTGGAGTAAGGGAAGATTTCTGTATAGTTGCTGGAGAGGAGGAATGTGTATAGTTACTCATTTGACTCCAAAATTTTATTAAAACCAATTTTAATTTTACTGTGGGGTTAACTTTTTTTTAGTTTATTGTACTTGTGTTTATTTCAGCCTAAAGTTTGCAAAATGGGTTGTGGAGTTTTCTTTTAATGTTAAACAGATATTGATCCCAGTTACTCTGTTCATAAGAATTTTACCAACTTTCTTCTTGCATTTCAGTTAAACACATCTGAGTTTCTGTGTGCAGAAAATATCTGTTGGAGGGCTAATATGTCCTAAATTATAGTGAAAACTTGTTTATTATGAAATTATATGTAAGTTTTTAAGCATGCCACTTTTTGTGTTTTTCAGATACATTATTCTACATGTGGAATTTTATTACCAAGCAAAACATAGGAATTGTTTCGGGAAAGACTTTAGCTTTCATAATTTTTAAAAATGTTCCCATAGTAATTGTTGTGATTTCTTTTTTTGTTTTTGTTTTTCTGAGATGGGGTCTCTCTCTGTCTCCCAGGATGGAGTGCAGTGGCACAGTCTCGGCTTACTGCAACCTCTGCCTCGGCCTCCTGCATAGCTGGGGTTGCAGGTGCACGCCACCATACCCAGCTAATTTTTTGCATTTTTCAGTAGAGACGGTGTTTCACCATGTTGGCCAGGCTGGTCTCAAACTCCTGACCTCAAATGATCCACCCATCTGGGCATCCCAGAGTGCTGGGATTACAGGCTTGAGCCACCGTGCCTTGAGATTGGGTGGGATGGGAACGGGAACAGAAAATTGCTACTTTTTTTTTTTTTTTTTTGAGACAGAGTCTCACTCTGTCACCCAGGCTGGAGTGCAGTGGCATGGTCTCGGCTCATTGCAACCCCGCCTCCCAGGTTCAAGCGATTCTGCTGCCTCAGCCTCCCGATTAGCTGGGACTACAGGTGTGTGCCACCACACTTGGCTAATTTTTTTGTATTTTTAGTGGAGACAGGGTTTCACTATGATGGCCAGGCTGGTCTCGAACTCCTGACCTCGTGATCCGCCTGCCTTGGTCTCCCAAAGTGCTGGGATTGCAGGCGTGAGCCACCGCGCCCGGCCAAAAATTGCTACATTTTGCTGATTACATTTTCTGTTATTAGGGTGGGTTTTTAAATTATTTTTGTCACATAAGATGACAAAAATGTATTAATGACAAAATGTTTAATATATTATTTTTGTCATATTAAATGACAAAATGTTTAATGTTTTTAATTTTAAAAGGAGTGGCAATATACCAGCTAAATGGTGATTTGGGCCCAGTGCAGTGCCTCACTCCTGTAATCCCAACACTTCAGGAGGTCGAGGCAGCAGATTGCTCGAGCCCAGGAATTCAAGACCAGCCTGGGCACCAAGACGAAATCCTATCTCTACAAAAAATGCAAAACTTAACTGAGCATTGTGGCATACGCCTGTAGTCCCAGCTACTCTGGAGGCTGAAGTAAGAGGATCACTTGAGCCTGGGAGATTGCAGTAAGCCAAGATCATGCCACTGCACTCCAACCTGGGTGACAGATGGAGACCCTGTCTCAAAAAAAGATGACATGAACTAGGGCATAAGGAATGGAAAAATAACCAACTTGAAAGACTCATGGAAAATAAAACCAGTATTAACTTTTTCATTCTGTTCATTCCCACTGACCTATCATGGAAAATAGAACCAGTATTAACTTTTTCATTCTGTTCATTCCCACTGACCTACCTCAAGTCAGCCTCTCCACCAGAACATTGCAATAACCTCAGACTGGTTTTTGTGAACAAAGGAAAGAATAAAAGTTACTGGAGAAAAGCCCTCTCCAGTGTTAACATAATATAATTGCTGTTTTGGGCTTGTTAGCAGGGTCTCTGTAAGATTATTTCTTACAAAATAATTACTGCCTTTGTCTCCCTAAAATGTTTATTTGAGGCATTTTTTTTTTCTTTTTTGAAAGTTCAGATATTTCTGAGTAGATGCAATTTCTTTTTGTTTTTGTTTTTCGAGATGGGGTCTTGCTCTGTCACCCAGACTGGAGTGTGATGGCGTGGTCTTGGCTTACTGCAACCTCCGCTCTGCCTCCCGAGTTCAAGTGATTCTCCTGCCTCAGCCTCCCAAGTAGCTGGGATTACAGGCATGTGCCACCACACCTGGCTAATTTTTGCATTTTTAGTAGAGACAGGGTTTCACTATGTTGACCAGGCCGGTCTCGAACTCCTGACCTCGTGATCCACCCTCCTTGGCCTCCCAAAGTGCTGGGGTTACAGGCATAAGCCACCGCGCCTGGCCATCTAATTTTTGTATGTTTAGTAGAGTTTTCACCATGTTGGTCAGGCTGGTCTCGAACTCCTGACCTCAAGTGATCCGCCCACCTCGGCCTCACAAAGTGCTGGGGTTACAGGTATGACCCACTGCACCCAGCCATTCCAGGTGTTTTATAAGCATTTATTCTTTACAAATCATCCTATGAGGGAAGTACTATGAACCCAGATCAGATTTTAAGCCCAGGCTACTGTCTTCTAGTTAATTCACTTTTGGTCTTTAAAACCAAGAATTCTCTAAATAAAATATTTTAGGATTTTCTAAACTCGTAGGTTGGTGAGGGATTGCCCATAAATATTACAAAACAGCTGCATCAAAACGTTCTTTAAAAAGTGATGGGATGCCAGGTGAGGTGGTTCACGCCTGTAATCCCAACACTTTGGGCTGAAATGGGTGGATCTTTTGATCCCAGGAATTCAAGATCAGCCTGAGCCACATGGCAAAACTCCGTCTCTATAAAAACTACAAAAATTAGCCGAGCATAGTGCTGCGTGCCTGCAGTCCCAGCTACTAGAAAGGCTGAGGTGAGAGGATAGCTTGAGCCTGGGAGGTCAAAGCTACAGTGAGCAGAGTAAGCCACTGCACTCAAGTCTGGGCAACAGAGCAAGACCCTGTCTCCAAAAAAGTAAAAAGTGATGGTGATGTATTTAAAAATAAATTTGTATACATGATTTTTACAATCAACAAATGCAGCTATAATTGTCAGTTATTGGGATTATGTGCAAACCATGTTACTCCTAGACACCCTAGCCCTTTGCATTCTTCTCTTATTCGTCATTCCCATGTATCTTAGTCAACTTAAATTCATATACAAAAGGCAGAATTTGCCCTCTTATAACCCATACCTTTTCCCAGCTTTTCATTTGATGCTGAACTTTTCTTGCCTTTCATAATCACAAGGCTCAATTTTTTTCATTGTGAATTTCAACCTTTTTGTTTTCAGTTTATAACTCCTAAACCTTCCCAACTGTCAATAAGTTCTGGCCAAGCACAGTAGCAGACACTGTAATCCCAACACTTTGGGAGGCTGAGATGGGAGAATTGCTTGAGCCCGAGAGTTGAGACCAGCCTAGACCAACATAGTGAGACCCCATTTTTAAAAAAATGCCAGGCAAATTTGCCAGGCATGGTGGTGCCCAACTACTCCAAGGCTAAGGTAGGACCTATAGAGCCTGAAAGGCGACAGTGAGCCACGAATGTGCCACTGCACTCCAGCGTGACAGTGACAGACTGTCTAAAAAAAAAATTTCTGTACCTCCTAGAGTGTTCTGAGAGGTTCAAAAAACAAAATTTATGCTATCTTGGACTTTCACTCGATTAACTTTAGTTTGAAGTCAAGTCAATTTTGAACTATTCTTTTATACTCAAGGCCATAGTCTATACTGTCCAAAAGAACTTTCTGCAGTGGTAATGTTTTACATCTTTGTTGTTCAATAAACTAGCCACATGTGGCTGTTGAGTACTAAATGTGACTAGTGTAACAAGCAGCACATTACCTGGCTAGTTACCCCTACTAGACAGAACATTTGTTGTCAGCTCTTACTATCCCCCAACTTCGATCCTCTGCCTAACCCAGCCTGCTATACACAAGCCTAGCATATCTTGTTTCTTCTCTTGCAAAATCTTATAGACCCTTCTAAGCTGCTCAATGTTTATGAATTCACTCAATATTTGAAATTGACTAGAAAACAATATAGTATTTTCCCTTCATATATATATAAACTTGTTAGAAAAGTTTGAGGTGGGACTACACTAAACATGGAATTCTATTTATAAGTAAAAACCACAAAAGGTTTGCGTAAGAATATCACTATTTATTTTCCCTCAGGTAATTTTTCTATGGCTTCAACATTTTCTCTTCAAAACCAGAAGAAAAATATCCCAAAGTTTAGAACTGGATCACTTGGCCCTTTCTCTTCTTATCTCCTCCCAGTTCAAAATGCTTGCATCTCTTAATGGCCAGCATCCTCTTAGATCTGCAGTTAGGCTCAACACATTCCAGCCTTAGCACAATCTTCTTTGTGGTCTTAGCCTTCTTCCGGAAAATTGGCTTTGTCTGCCCACCATAGCCACTCTGCTTCCGATCATAGCGCCTCTTTCCCTGGGCATACAAAGAATCCTTGCCCTTCTTATATTGTGTCACTTTGTGAGGCTGATGCTTGCCACACTTCTTACAGAAGGTTCTTCGGGTTTTAGGCACGTTGACCATCTTTGCAGCAGGGCTGTTGTCTATATGATGAAAACTGTAGTAAAATATTTAAGATAGCAGACATTAAACATTCCGAAAAGTGAAAGTGCTATACAAGTAGATATACGAAAACCGTATAATATATAAACCCACCACATACTCATTTTCCATATGAATAAATGCACATACAAGTGCATACCTTTTTTAAACACTTCATTTAAATTACTGGAGGACTAATTTGTCAACCTAAAGAACTGAGGCAAGGCCGGGCGCGGTGGCTCATGCCTGTAATCCCAGCACTTTGGGAGGCCGAGGTGAGTGGATCTCCTGAGGTCAGGAGTTCGAGACCAGCCTGACCAATATTTTAGTCTCTACTAAAAATACAAAATTAGACGAACGTGGTGGTACATGCCTGTAATCCCAGCTACTCGGGAGGCTGGGCCAAAAGAATCGCTTGAACGCGGGGCGCGGAGGTTGCGGTGAGCCAAGATCGCACCATTGCACTCCAGCCTGGGCAACAAGAGCGCAATTCCGCCTCAAAAACAAAAACACAACTGGGGCAAAATTCCTAAGTAAGAGTGTTTATTTGGAGCAAGTTTGAGGACTGCAACCCGGAGCACAGATTCAAATTGCCGTGAATAGCAGCAGTTGCAAGCGGGTTTTTAGAGGAAAAAATGGCAGTTCCTAAGTTGTTTACCAAGAATTTACATTAAAATAACACAAGCGATTGGTTGGCTATACATCGTTCTTTTTATGACAAATTCCAGGAGCACGGACATAATGGGTGAAGCAGCTAGTCAGGAATAAAATGCCAGGCATGAAGTGGGGAGGTGTCCGAAGTCTCATACTCCTGTCTCTCTGGACCCAGCAAATTTTGCACACCTCAAATAACTCACAATGCTCCGAGCCATTTTTCTTTTCTCATATAGAACTAGATTCACGAAAATCAAGAGCAGCAGCTTTAGGAGGCCCAATACAGTCAGTTTTCTATACGAAATGGGTTTAATTTATTGTGGCTGCCCCAAAAGAAATGTGCGGTTCATCTAATTTTCTTCCGCAGAAAAAGAAGAGTTTCTTTAACTCTCTTTCCCCCATCCACCTCCTCCATTTTCCAGCTCTAGAAAATGGCTGGGGCAGTGCGCGACGTCGTAGCTACGGTTACGACCCGCCCCGTTCCTTCTCCGAGAACCACATCAGCGTGGTATCACTTTTCCCCTCCGAAGCACGGTCACCCGTCAGCAGCCTAGAAGGCTGACGTGTCTTTATCAGGCCGGCGCGCCTCGCGATCCTACAGCCGCCATGCCTGAAGGGAGAAGCCTGCTCTCGAACTAAGGCCGACGAGGGCCGTGGGTCTCGCCTTCCCTTTCCTAAGAAGGCCTAGTCCTACCCCGGATTCTGAGCAACGGAGGCTCCTATTGAAACCGCTACAGTTCCGTTCTTAGCTTACCGAGAAACGGCGTCCGACACCCTCGCGTAGCGCAGCTCTCGCCTAACAGGAAAGGGAAGAGAGAAGCGGAAGTAGGAACTGCACCTGAGCGACAGTACTGCGAACCAATAGGGAGCCGGTCACGGCGGCCAGGCGCCTTCGGTCGCGTCTGGAAAGCACCAACCAACGGTCTAAGGGGCGGGCCGGAGGGGTGTGGGCCGGAGGGCCGCGGTGTTCCGCGGGCCAGTTGCGGGTTGTCAGAACTGTCGCCACCGGAGTGGGGCGAGGCTGCGTCGCTCAGTCCTGGCCGTCTAGGGCCCACGTAAGGATGAGAACGCAGAGGACGCAGGGCCGCTGGAGGCGCAGGTAACGAAGCTAGGGTGCGGTGGGGCAGCTGCTGGGTTTCTTCCGGGACCCGTGGTGCTGAATGGAGAGGACCGAGACGAAGCCGAGCCGCGGCTCCTAGCGGCGGCGCCGATGCCCGAGCTGTAGCTGCCAGGCGAGGATGTATGGAGCGCAGACGGCGCGGGGTAGCTGAGAGGTCTCGGGCCTCAGGACCCCCGGGGCCCGGGATGAGTTAGCGAGGGCAGCCGCGGGGGCCAGTTCCGACCGTGACAGGCCAAGGCGACGGCCGCCGCCCGCCCGCCCCATCCGTGCAGAAGCAGCTACTCCTTTCCGCGCCCGCCCGCCCGCGCTCCCGGCCCTGGAGACCATGAGGTTCCGCATCTACAAACGGAAGGTGCTAATCCTGACGCTCGTGGTGGCCGCCTGCGGCTTCGTCCTCTGGAGCAGCAATGGGCGACAAAGGAAGAACGAGGCCCTCGCCCAGCCGTTGGTGGACGCCGAACCCGTGCGGGGTGCCGGCAGCCGTGGCGGGGACCACCCCTCTGTGGCTGTGGGCATCCGCAGGGTCTCCAACGAGTCGGCGGCTCCACTGGTCCCGGCGGCCCCTCAGCCCGAGGCAGACAACCTGACGCTGCGGTACCGGTCCCTGGTGTACCAGCTGAACTTTGATCAGACGCTGAGGAATGTAGATAAGACTGGCAACTGGGCTCCCCGGGAGCTGGTGCTGGTGGTCCAGGTGCATAATCGACCCGAATACCTCAGACTGCTGCTGGACTCACTTCGAAAAGCCCAGGGAATTGACAACGTCCTCGTCATCTTTAGCCACGACTTCTGGTCGACCGAGATCAATCAGCTGATCGCCGGGGTGGATTTCTGTCCGGTTCTGCAGGTGTTCTTTCCTTTCAGCATTCAGTTGTACCCTAATGAGTTTCCAGGCAGTGACCCTAGAGATTGTCCCAGAGACCTGTCGAAGAATGCCGCTTTGAAATTGGGGTGCATCAATGCTGAGTATCCCGACTCCTTCGGCCATTATAGAGAGGCCAAATTCTCCCAGACCAAACATCACTGGTGGTGGAAGCTGCATTTTGTGTGGGAAAGAGTCAAAATTCTTCGAGATTATGCTGGCCTTATACTTTTCCTAGAAGAAGATCACTACTTAGCCCCAGACTTTTACCATGTCTTCAAAAAGATGTGGAAACTGAAGCAGCAAGAGTGCCCTGAATGTGATGTTCTCTCCCTGGGGACCTATACTGCCAGTCGCAGTTTCTATGGCATGGCTGACAAGGTAGATGTGAAAACTTGGAAATCCACAGAGCACAATATGGGTCTTGCCTTGACCCGGAATGCCTATCAGAAGCTGATCGAGTGCACAGACACTTTCTGTACTTATGATGATTATAACTGGGACTGGACTCTTCAATACTTGACTGTGTCTTGTCTTCCAAAATTCTGGAAAGTGCTGGTTCCTCAAGTTCCTAGGATTTTTCATGCTGGAGACTGTGGTATGCATCACAAGAAAACCTGTAGACCATCCACCCAGAGTGCCCAAATTGAGTCACTCTTAAATAATAACAAACAATACATGTTTCCAGAAACTCTAACTATCAGTGAGAAGTTTACTATGGTAGCCATTTCCCCACCTAGAAAAAATGGAGGGTGGGGAGATATTAGGGACCATGAACTCTGTAAAAGTTATAGAAGACTGCAGTGAAAATCACAATTACAGAAGCAAAAGTGACAGTCTTCTATTTTTGATATTTGTCCAAACAGGACATACAATTGAATAAAAGAGTTTAGGAACTGGTTTCTGCTTTAATACAAAAACAAAATCTTGTAAAAGGTGTCCAAATACATAGTAATCTTTTCCAATTATGTCTGATTAAGATTTAAAACTGAAGGTTTCATTTTGGGAGTAGGATTTTAAAGCTCAATCTGTATCTGCTAAAACTGATTATTGTTGATTGATAGAAGAGGGGAAATTTGATTTAAATTGCATCTATTAATCTTTTTATCTGAAACTTTGTACACTTTTCCACTTTTAAAACCTATTTTAAGTACAGCAAAATTTATTTAAAACTGTCAAAGCAGTAAAAAGTATTACCATGAAATGGTTAGGGTATTAATGGAACAAACCCAGTTTCACTCTATTGACACACTTACTAGGAAGGGATTGCTTCACTGGTTTAATAATTAAAAAGTTATGTTTGTTAAAACACCCTGTCAGAACAGTCATTTTCAGTGTTAGATTCCTGTACTATTGTGTTTTGAGTGTGCTTTGGAACCTTCATAGAACACACTTTCTTTTGGAATGTATTTGATTGATAAGAAAGTTTAAACATTGTTTTCACCTCAATGTAGAAATACAGTGGTTTTTTTTTTTTTTTCTTTTAGTGCTGACAAAATAAAATACTCATTTTTGCATAAAAAGGTTCCTAATCCTTTTGCAGAATAAGTTTTGTTTACTCTTTATACCAAATTTAGTGAAGGCATTCTACAAATTTTGAGTTAGCATTATATTTTAATATTTATTATTGCCACATTGTATAATTGAGTTTGAAATAAAACCCAGCTCATGACAATGCATTCCCTGTGCAAGAAACTGTTTGGCTTTCAAATTACCCAGGCATAGATAATGAACAATAAAATGTTGCTGTGTAAGGTAAATACAGCCTAAATTGTTTTTGAAAGCCAGAAATGGTACAAAGTTCAGTCATGCCAAAGTGAAATACTTTCTAGTGCCGGCTTTAACTTAAATCATACTTTTTAAAAGGACAGATACAGAAAATTATAGGAAACAGGCTTAAATTTTGCTCCATATTTAATGTAGAAGTTTCCCTTAATTTGTAATTGCATTCAACCAAAAATTTCTCATAAAAGACTAATTTCTGTGTAAAGATATTATTAGGGGCTGGGTGTGGTGGCTCATGTCTGTAATCTCAGCACTCTGGGAGTCTGAGGCAGGCAGATTGCTTGAACTCAGGAGTTTGAGACCAGCCTGAGCAACATGGCGAAAACTCATTGCTACTAAAAATACAAAAAATTAGCCAGGTGTAGTGGTGCATCTGTAGTCCCAGCTACTTGAGAGGCTGAGGTGGGAGGATCCTTTGAGTTTGGGAGGTGGAGGTTGCAGTGAGCCTAGAGCATGCCACTGCACTCCAGCCTGGGCAACAGAGTGAGCCTCCATCTCAAGAAAAAAAAAATTACTTCAACTTACAACTATTAAATGGTAGTCTCAAAATTATTGCATCAATTTAAGATTCATAGTGGTTTAAGAGCACATATGCTCATCCAAGGTGAAGTAAGTAGTTCTCTTGCTTTACGAGCTACCTTTAGACTTACCCTCACAGCCCAATCTGGTGCAAGATTTTGGGGGGGGGGGGGTTAAATAAGGGTGAATCAGGAGGCTTTTTACCTATTTCTGGTACTCTGACCTGACATCACTAGTTCAAAGAACTAAAAACTTAGGTTATTTCCAGGACAGAACTAAGAAGGCCAGAGTCTGAAGTAGCAGCTGTTTTTGAAACAAATAGATCAGTTCCTGGCTTTGGGGGTTAATGATTAGATCAACAACTATTTTCCTTTCTGCATTTTCTTTTCCTTTCTGCATTTCCTTCTTTTAATTTTCTTTGGCTGCCCTAAAATTTTTTGTGAGGAAAAAACCTGTTGGGATCTTCTCTTTGCCTCATATTTTAGGTGTTATAAAAGAAATTGATTATGCAGGAGGCTGAGATGAGAGCATCGCTTGAGCCTAGGAGTTTGAATCCAGCCTGGACAACATAGCAAGACCCTATCTGGTTTTTTTTTTGAAACGGAGTCTCTCTTTGTCGCCCAGGCTAGAGTGCAGTGGTGTGATCTCAGTTCACTGCAAGCTCTGCCTCTCGGGTTCATGCCATTCTCCTGCCTCAGCCTCCCGAGTAGCTGGGACTATAGGCGCCTGCCACCACGCCTGGCTAATTTTTTATATTTTTAGTAGAGACAGGGTTTCACCATGTTAGCCAGGATGGTCTCTATCTCCTTACCTCGTGATCCACCCGCCTCAGCCTCCCAAAGTGCTGGGACTACAGGCGTGAGCCACCGCGCCCGGCTGACCCTATCTCTTAAAGAAAGAAAGAGATTAGGAAACACTGGCTTTTTTTGTTTTTTTGTGTGTGTAATAATATAATGAAGGCAATTTTCCTATCAGAGCAAATTGCCAGATTTTAAAAATTCCAGTTTTACTCTTAAATTTCTATAAAACCACAAGATGTTTTTAGTATTTCAATAACTTATAAGAAATTCTTCCAAATTGAATTTTCAAAATCATTACTAAATAACTAAATCTATTATATATACTTTATGTGACAAAAATATATATAGTTTGTGTGACAAAGTGAAATATAGAGTTGATGAAAAATACTATATTTTATCTGGTGTATTTGTATCGTAATTATTTAGATTAATATTGGTTAGTAAAGTTCTTTCCCCTCTAAGTTCTATTTCAAGCTTAAAAATGTCCTATTTAGTGAGACTGAGAAACAGTTTTGAAATTCTACCCCCGACACATGTACTCACAATTCCAGTTAATTGCATTCTTGAGAATTACTTTGTGTGACAAACACAACTTAGTGAATATTTATTTTGAAATTTTATTAAAGTAATGACAAAGCAAAATTTAACACAGAAGTATATATACACAGGTTATATTAAACAATGTTTTAACTCTCAAATAGAAAAATATACACATCTATTACAGGAATCACAAAACTTATCTCCTTAAGGGAACTTTAAACTCCAGAGGTA